AGAGGAATCTACAACATAGGGCGTCGCAAGGCTGTGTGAAATCGGGGATGAATTCCTCTTGGTCGTTCCCTTAGGGGCTCCTGATCAAGCTAATCCTACAACATGATCTAAAAAACGCCTTTTACGTAGCGATATACCGGAGACAGCTGCTTTAGACCAAAAGTGCATCAATCTTGGCTATGTAGAACGTGGGAATTGCGTACCGTTTTTCCATGCCGAATCGGCGGGAGTACGGCGTAGCATGTAGGTAGGCAGGGTCGAAATAATGGCGCAATTTGTTTGCACAGAGCTGCCAATTCGAAATACGCAGGTAAGGTAGTTAATTGGACCGTGCTGCGTATGTACAATCCTGAATGACCACGAGGGATTCTATTTATGTTGTGAAAGCATATTTGCTTCTTCTTCTTTCCGCCCTAATGCATCGAATGCTGATACTGTCTCGGCCCCGGAGTCTCTCATCTGAACCGGCATGTCGAGATGAGCTAGATATCATGGTCCTGACTGGTTGGGCCAGCTGCAAGGCCTTGATTCATTAACCTCACCATTTGCATCTGCATGACCGCAGATGCTGTGCTTCTTCGTACATAATTATGTTTGAAACGTGATATTCCAAGTCTCGTGAAGACGATCCTTTGGGCTGAACTGTGGACAGAGGGAGGTGATGTTTCGGGTATTTTGCGGTGTGAGATAGGGATGATGAGCACGCATGGATTTCCCAGTTGAAGCTCAGCGTGGCCATTCGAACCATGGCATGCCGGGGGAGGGTAACAGGGGTTGTCAGTAGTTCGCCTACGAAAAAGAGATCTGGATTTGGAAATTGGTATCTGAACCTTCAGGATGGAAACACGGCTACGGGAGCATTCTCTTCAGGGGAGCTAAATGGAATTACGGCTACGTGAGGATTCTTCTAGGGAAGCTAAATTGAAACACGGTTACGTGAGGATTCTTTTCAGGATAGTTAAATGGAAACACGGCTACATGAGCAATAATAATTCATCAACGACAACGCGCGAAGGATAATAGTGGCTTTTCGGTATGATACCGCAACGGCAGCGCGTGTCTCAATTCCACGTCGACAGAGGAGAAGATAACAGCAGTGTCAGTTAACAGATGGAAAGTCTAATTGCCGAAGGGAATGGGTATCCGATTGGACTGATCCTCCCATTTTCGAAAAAAAACATGAGATTGGAGCCTGAATCATGACTATGCCACCACTTGCGGCGCGGGTCTGACAATCCAACACCAGTACCACCACCACACCCACCCCCGAGAATTCATTGATGGACGGCAAAATCAATTTATCCCTGGTCGTCAACTGCATACTGCATCTGATTTGTTTGGTTTTGTGGTAGTAATAATATCCCGTTCAATATACATACTTCCAATTCCATTATTACCAGAAAGCCCATACAGTACTTTTAATTCCATTACCAGAAACCCTACTTCTAATAAACCCTACTTCCAATCCAATGCAACACCAACCCTCCTCCCAAGAATCCCTTTTTGTCTGGAAATTCGGATCTGCCAAAGCATCACCGGAATACAAGTACTCAGACCGCCCTAACATTTCTGCCGTCTGGTCGTCCTCTCTTTCTGTCCACCGTCTGTCCGTACCACGTTCCATGCTTCCCAAAAGTGGACGTGCCCGGTACTCCAGTCGTTAGACCGCCAAAACTACCCTTCTAGTGCGTCCCGACGCCGGGACCTAGCACAACAGTCCGACTCTGTCATATCTACCCCACCGGCGCCAAACTGAAAACTAACATCTGCTATTTGCCCGACTGCACTTTTGCAAGAAAAAAAAAAACAAAAAAAAAACAACTTCTGACACCGTGAGCCATTCCCTCCTGTCTTTATCCGGATTCAGACTCACGGGAGTGGCAGGCTGCATTTACATTTCCACAATATCGATTCGCTCTGAGTGACATATATTTTCTCGCTCGCTCCTCATGGATTCAACAACAGACCTTTAATTGAACTCATCAACTTTTGGACCTAGAAACAAAACCCGGTTTTTGTCGACCCTGCACTACTTTTTCAATAAAACCTAGCCACGCTTAATTTGTGGATCACCATCAATTGGATCTAGACTCACCACGGAATGCCGCTTGTAAATCACCCCAGATACTCTTCTTCTCACGTCCAACACCAGCGACGTGCAACTTACCGACCACCTGTAACACATCCACTTCTGTGTTGCACAAGCCTTAGCCGATCATCGACTACCATACGAGACGAAGCGAATTCACCGAGGACAGCATTACTATCTGATAAAGGACCAGGTCGGCAGAGAACAACAGTACATCAAGGCCGGAGGGCACAACACAGACGCGGAACCCAGGGTATTACGCCATCAACAGCAACACAACGAAGCTTTTCTGGACATTCTTCTAAGGTCGAACAGTTATTGGGCATAGGAGGTTTGGATAAAGAAAATAATAACAGAAAGGGAAGCTGCCAACCATGTCAGGGAGAGCTGACCAGAGCGGTTCCCCGGACGAGTCAGTTTCCCCAAGAGTGATTGTGCCAGTAGTTACGGTTGTTGCAGTTGTGGTGCTTATCGTATTCGCCTTAGCAGTTTTTGTTATGATACGGGCATACAATAGACGGCGAAAACAAGCTCAAGAAAAAAAAGACGCATCAAGATGGCGAAACTCGGCCGACAGCGAAGGAGCATGGCACAATCAGGATTTGGAAAATGGTCTGCCACAGGGCGGGACAAGAATGGCATCATTGGAAAGGCCGAGAAGTAAAGAGGAGGCAAAGTCAAAAAGAAGTACATTTATCTTGAAGGCACCTGTACCAGCAGCCTTCAGAATGACATTCCAATCCGCCAAGAGAGACAGTGTTAAGCAGGATTCGGTACCGAGAAACGGCAAAAATTCCGAATCGGCCCACCACGACGAAATATTAGGATCCCCAAAAAGCAAATATGCAATCGAGAGTGGCTTTGAAGATGGTTCCTCATGTTCAACAAACCGCATGACTTCTGGAACTCTGGGAAAGTTGGAGCAAATAACAGGCAGTCAATTTTCCAACTCGATTTACGACCAACAATACGAAGAGCAGCAAGAAACCGCCGCATCTCTCGACCGGGAACAATTGAAGAATACACTTGCCCTTCCACCCCGCCGCCGGAGAAGAAGTATCAGCCAACCAAACCTCCGCATCAACATCCCTCCCGTAAACCACGGCCGAAGTCTCTCCGTCAACACCGATATTTCCCCCGCAACAACCAATGGCGATTTTGAATTCTCTCCCATCAGCCCTACGAGTATCAGTGAAGCCATGTCAGCTCTAGCACCCCCACCCCCAGCTTCAGCAAGCACCGCCTTCCCCTCGACCTACCCCAACATAGCTGCCTTAACACAGGCCAACATCAATGTCTCCAACGCCATTCTCTCACGGCAATCTCTTAATCACCACCCCAGCTTCACCGGCTTGTCAATTTCTCGAGAACATTCTGGAAGTGGAAATAGTGGTATTAGCGGTGGTAGTGGTGGTCGTCGAGCCACTCAATACCATTCCAAACTCTCCCCACAATTCAGCCCCCGCTTTTCTCCTCCCTTAAGAAACCACGAACAAATCCAATTAGACATAATGTCACCCACCGGTCAAATTCGCCGTTATTCCAACAGCAGCATTGATCTCAACGGACCCGCATTATCCGCCACCTTCGGCAACTTCGATCATGGAGAATATGAAAATCTAAATAGCCGTCCACTTTCCATGGCATCCTCAATCGGCTCATTCTGTTTCGGCCGACCCGGAGCCGGAGAAGAAAATTCCGACGGTATTAGCACACAACGTCATTCATGGAACGGTCGATCAGTCTTATTATTAGATGATCCAAACCTATCCACGACCTCCTTACGTCCAATTGCACGAAGAGCAGATACCGACCGAACCACAACTGGAATGTCCGCCAGAACAGCTCGAACATTACGTCGAGCCGCAACCACAGCTGGAAGATCCCCTTCTCCCTCACCAATGCCCTCACCGATGCCTTCCCCCCATCAGCTACAGCAGTTACATATTGATCATCGTGTCAGTATGAACTTTGATAAATCCTCTATTTATTCCGCTCCAAACTCTGCACGGAGTAGTTTGAATGTTACTGGTGGTTTAGCGCCGGCCCCAATACGGAATCCTCCTATGCAGGTGATTACAAATAATCAACAATCGAGACAGAGAGCCCAGAGACCGAAGACTTTTGATGGAAGTCAGGGATTTGCAGGATTAGAAGGGTTGGCGGATTTGAGAATGGAAATGGGGCGTGGAGATGTTAGGGATGTCGATAGAGAGCCTCCAAAAAGGGAGGATTATGACCAGAGGATGATGAGACGGAATAGAGAGATGGAAGAGGAAGATTTTGTGTTTCAGCCTGAGAGGGCCAGTTTTGTATTTTTGTAAGGAACTCGGTCGCCTTGACGGTGCTAGTTATGCTACGAGACATGTTGGGAGGAGGGGAGGAGGGGAGGAGGGGAGGAGGGGAAGAGGGGGGAGATTGAAGCATGTTCAGGATAAAGATAACTATTAGGTAGGGACAGCAGGATGCAGGTTACAGGTTGCATTTACACAGCGATGTTTGTGGGGTTTCTATTTTTTTGTTTTCTATTTTTTTTATTGGGTCATATTCCAGGCGTTATTTGGTTTGAAGGTTTGCGGTTTGCGGTTTGCGGTTTGCGGTTTGAAATTTTCGGGAGGGTGGGTAATGGATCTCGGTACCGGATTTTTGGATTGTGATTGTGTTATTCATGGGAAGCGATATATAGACAAACAATAATGACATAGCTGGTTTAAGCCAGAAATTGTTTAAATAAATATATGATTCTTTGATCAACTTAGATACATAAGATACTTCATTTGAAAAAAAGACTCTTCTCGTGGTTATTTATGGGTGATACTTCATGACTGCTCAGCACCCGTCCTAGCATATCTTTCTCTATGTATTCAGCCCAGAATATCCCATGAGAACTACCTAGGCACAAAAAAGAGAGAGCTCCGACCCGGACTTGAACCGGGGATCTCATCATTACTAGTGATGCGCTTTACCGCTAAGCCACCAGAGCACTTGTTTTAAGCGAGTAATTAAAATATAATTTATAGACCATTACAGAGAAATTGAAACGCTGTTTAATGATCTTCCTCCAACTATAAAGACTGCAAGTTTTATGGATTTACACCATAAAAAGCCCATCGTATCCATATCCCTGGATGGCGGCAGTGATCATACAGCTGACGTCGGCACATGGTTGAGTCTGAAGGCTACAGGCCGAGTCTGAATTTATCAAACCGATATTGTTCAGCTTAGCCGGCCGGTAATAGATTGTGTATATAAAAATAATTCAAAGAGCTCCTGAATGCCCTAAACTACTGCAACTCGTGCCAAAAGGGTGCCATAATACCAGATTCACATCCGGCGGTAGCGGTCATCGAGCAAATTCCTCACTGCGTCTATTAAAGTAGAACAGAAGATAGCCAATAAAGTAATCTATCAGCTAACAAATTATCAATTCTGCTAAACCAACAATGAGCTTGCATAGGAACAAAGCATGGATTATCACTCGAATCAACTGGGGGTTTGAGACTTGGCTTGTGCTCACTCAGCACTGTAATGCCAGGATAAGAAACCTGTATAATTTCCCATTTGTTTTCCAGCTTTTTTTTGTGTCGCGGAGTAAACTTTTTCCAGTGCATTACAAGCCTCGCCCCTACCCCGACCCCGTTGGCCTAGGTTAGGTCGATAAAACATATCCCTAAGGAATGAGTCAAAAAGCTTTCTGCTACTTTAGTGTTGTGGGGTATATCTTTAATAACGAGTGCTCTACTTGAGTATTGCACTGGGGGCCCTGCCGCCCTGGACCCTGGACCGTTCATATACAATCACTCGTGGTTGATAGGAATTATTAAGAATATTACTTTTTATGTATTACTCAGATTTGAGTGACTTTAATTCTTAGTGACTTGATATATATTTTAACACCTAATAATTTCTACTGGCATCCTTTAACAGAATTAGGCAGCTATCATCAGGTTACATTAGCCAACCCAATGCAACAAAGGCACGCTCCTTCTGAAAGTACTATGATCAGTTCTGTTTGAAGAAGAACCGGACAGTTTTAATAAGAAACAAAGAATGCTACTTGGGCTTTAACCAGAAAATTTGGGCTTCTCCCAAGTTCCCAATAACGGTGGGGATACCCTTTAGGGCGTATTGTAACCTAATACCCTCAAGCGAATTCTCTTCTATCATATTATAGTCAGAACCCAGGTCAACCACCACCTCCCAATCAGTGAAACCCTTTGCTAACTTTCCCAAACACTGGCTCAATAGTGGCATCGCCAGAGCAGTAATCTATCATGGTTAGTGGTCGGCGTTCCCACATACCATGGATACGCCTTTTAAGGTTGTCGGAGCGGTAAAGGGAGTAGCATCAATGGTATACAAGCGTAAACGGTGTGACATGCAATGTGGTTGGTTCTAGTTGTAAACAACACAGGAAGAAACTTTAATCTTGAATCATGTTCCTCAACATGAATGACCATCAAGAGTGGGTAACAGTGAACACTTCTCAGTACTATCAGCTACTCAAGCGAAGTACCAAAGTCGTATCGGATTATGGGCCTAGGTTGATTGCCACCGTCGAATCAGGGAGACTCTTTGCTAACTTTCCCACCATCTGCCTCCATATCGGCATCGTCAGAGCAGTAACCCATCATGTTCAGTGGCAGATCTTCCCAAGCACCATGTAGAGACGTTTTGGCATTGCTCTAATTGTAGAGTAAAATATGGGTGTAGTTATCGCCATAGGTTTTTGTAAAATTCTTGGGCTGTCTGTGAAAATTGTTAGTATCATAATTGCAAATCGTAGAGGGATTACAAACAATCCAGTAGTATATCATAGAAGAGAGAAGATAAACACGTACCGTTGGTGCCGGTTTAACGTCAATAATCAGACACAAGCGCCAGACACCAGTAGTGGAGTAAAGGTGGAGTTTTGTATATCTGGATGGAAGGAGAAATTCTGCTGATAGCCTAGTGGAGGGTGTGCATATGACCGGAGCCCCGGCTGGGCTTTCACAAATTCAACCTCTTACCCAAGGAACCCTGTCTCTATGACCGACAGCAAAAATTTGCGGTCGACTGCAGTCGACTACAATACAAGAGCGAATAGCCAAAACACAATTTCTTATATGCTGTCCTCGTATTAATAATAATTGATAAATGCTATCGGTTTCTGGAAGCGCGCTATAATCGGCCCCGATAAATGTAGCATGAAACGCCCTATTAGCTCAAAGATGATTAGTACTACTAAATGATTTAATGCTAATTAATTCGCACTTATTCTACCCTTGCGAGTCGATTGTTCTCAGAGACGATCATTTCCAGAGTCTGTTTTCAATCACCCGAATTATAAACGCCTTCAACTTCACACAAAAAAAATTTGGTTATTATTTATACATGACAATCTGTGATTATTATTTACATAGGACACTTTTTCCTTCGCATACACGTCATTTCCCATATCCATCCTTAAAAACAAACCTCCCAACCAACACACCCCGGCACCACACCACTTAAACCGGCTTCTGCTGAGTAGTCTCAGTAGTCGTGGCAATTCTCCCATCCAACTCCACAGCAATGGGTGACATCTTCGTAACATAATCACTCCAAACCTGATCCATCGGATTTAGAGCAGCAAAATCCTTTCTAGGATCCCAAAAGTTATCACCACCAGTCGCCAGGAAGTCCAAAGTAGCGATTTTGTAAACCTTTGTAGCCTCGACTGGTTTTCCACCAATCTGAAGGGTAACCAATCGACTTCCAACAGGGTTGGTGGGGTTAAAAGTAATCCTAATCTCCTTGGAAACTTGTGCAGAAGAAGTAACTGCACGACCATTCTTCTGGTTAACGCGACTAGCAATACCCTCGAAAACAGTCCATAAATCGGCACCGGTAAATGTGAGCTCGGCAATGGCATTTCCAAAGGGGAAACATTCCAAGGCTTGTTGCTGGGTAATGTTACCGGCATCAATCTCGGATCGCATACCGCCAGAGTTAATGATAGCTCCGTCAACTTCGGGTCTATAAGCAGCCATAGCGTCGGCGGAAAAGTCTCCAAGGGTGCATTCTCCGGTTTGACAGGTGGTTTGGACCAATGGGTATTTGGTGGTACCAAGAACCTTGTTTACGTATGGAGCAAAAGCTTTCTCCCAGCTTTTAATCTCGGCCTTTAACTTGGGATCCTCGGCTGTAGCGTTGGTAAGGTGGAAAGGTGCTCCTTCGTATTTGACGATACGACCATCTTGCCATTCGGTGTTGATGTATCCAAGGTATTCACCCCAACGGTAGGCTTGGACAATGAAAACTTCCTCGCCATTTTTGTTGGTTTCAATGGTGGGGTATTTCCCTTTGGCGCCAGTCATGTTGCCGAGTAAGGTGTGAGAGTGACCTCCCATGATGAGGGAGATGTCGGTGGATGCTTTGGCGAGCTTAATGTCTTCGTCATATCCGATGTGGGTAAGGGCTGCGAAACGCTTGATGTTGCGGTGGCGGCGCTTGATGAGCGCAATGGTGCGGTTGATGGCTGTTAATGGGTCCTCGAAGGTTGTGCCGTTTCCGGGGGAGGAAATTCCCTTGGTGGTCTCGGTGGTGACGGCAACAAGGGCGAGTTGGTGTTTGGGGAAGATCTTGTAGGGCACTAGGGCGGAGGCAAGGTTCTGGTTTGTTGTGTGGACGTTGGAAGAAACAACTGGGAAGGTGAGGTTGTGTAGGAAGTTGGCGAGGAGGTCGTCTCCGTCGTCGAACTCGTGGTTACCAAGTGTCATGGCGTCTATGAGAGAATGTCAGCCACAGAGTGCAATTATTGTCTCGGCAATACGTTGTAACGCTGTATTGGGGTGGTCTCACCGAAGCCAAGCTGATTGAGGGTGTCTGCAATCTTCTCGCCTTTGTAAATGGTGTAGAAGAGGGTTCCCTGGAACTCATCTCCCGCGTTGAAGAACAAGGAGTTCTCATGAGTGGGACGAGTCTGGTCAATGACTGTCTTGACACGAGAGTAGCCTCCGACACATCCTATTCATAATCAGTCAAGCTATTCAAGGGGTGTAAAAAGTCATAGGAATTTAAGTTACTCACCCTTGGTAGGGTCGGTGCATGAAGAACCACTGTAACGGAACTCGTCAAGATGTCTATAGGAAGCTTATGTCAGTCACACGGCCGAGAAAAATGAATACGAGAAGGTTTATTTTAGGAAATTACTTACGCGTGAACATCATTGATGTGGTAGAAGGCCATTTCGTAATTCTTCTTGCCCTTAGGCTTTCCACGGTCGTTATGGCCATTGTCGCCGTCGTTGCCATTTCCACGACCATCCTCGCGCTTCACGATAGAAGCATCAGAAGCATAGCGCTTCGAGATGAGACGGTCGACCTGCTGCGAGCTAACGAGCGTGGTCGCCGTAAGGACGAGGGTAACGATTGTCGAAACGGACTTCATAGTGGGACACCGACAGACCAAACGAGCGTGTTGATGAGCTGTACAAAAAAGATTATAAAAGAGAGGGGAGCAAGCTATTTATTAAGACAAATTCATGGCTATGATATAATACGCAGCTGAGGTCCGTAAGCACCTCCCCTCCCCCCCGCGTACCAGAGCTCACTACATACTAGCTATCCCGATTGGCTCAGGAACACCTTCGCCTCGTGGCGTTGGATATACAATAAGCTTTAACGAGGGGCAGCAATTTCCTCTATCTACGGCTTCACCGAAGTCCAAGAAAATATGGTGTATAATCTATTTATCTAGCAGGGAAGTATTTTGGCAGATATCGCGTTGAGTGATGAGCATCGTGGTTGCTGCATCCAATCGTCGCTCGAGCTGCAGCGCGTGGAGTCGGCAGTAACGCTGAATAATCGGCGTATCCGCACAACGGCGTACGGAGAATCGCTATCAAAGCCGAGTTTCTTGGAATTTGGAAATCAGTCGAAAAATTATGTGTGCAAATATCTTGAAACAGTAATTCTACCTCAGTTTCTTCTCATTCAAATCTGTATAATATTAATCAAC